ATAATTTCAATGATTTCCTAACTTTCATCCTTTTTCTTTACTGTTCTGGGTTCAACCGAACCTACTTTGGATTATACCTGTAATCAATTTCAATTGGTTTGGTGAATGAATTTATAAAGAACTAGTGAACAAGAAATACCAGTGATTATTAAACAGTGATAATATATCATGCTCTACATTATTCATAGTATACCTTTCTCTTTGGTTGGTCCCAATATGAATTTCAAGCAAACAAGATATAGAAGAGGAGAGGTTCCTAGAGGGGCAAAACCAATATGAGAGAATCCAAGCTTCCATTGGGCCATGTACTCCGTAAATTAACATTTCTTCTTCTCTTCATGATGCAACATCCCAAAAGCCTGACCAGATTACGGTGTTTGAAGTTTAGCAATCAAGCCACTTCACTATTGAATTCACTAAGACTTTCGTTTTTGAGAATAGTTGAGAAGCGTTGACAGCTATTTCCTTTCCCGTTGATAGCAGGCCCTATGATAAACAATATAAAGATTTAGTTTGATCATCATGCGAAAGATTATAGTATGTTTTCCTTGTGAAAGATTTCATTTGTCCACTAAAATAGCTAGTGTATGAATGGAATAAACTTACCTTGTAAACAGGCCCAAAAGCACCTTCTCCAATTTTATTTGCATCACAAAACTTGTTAGTTGCCTTGCTAATGGTGACCATATCAAAGATGGATAATTCTACTTTTTCTTCATCACTGATTTGAATGTCGTCTCCTGCCTCAGTTAATCACATAGCACAACAAAATTTAATGCTTGTCAAGTTTTGTTCTGCAATTGAGAGCAAAAAATAACCAGCACTTCCTACTAAATAAGCTAAGCCTCCCTAAGAAGCATAACACAACAAAGACATTAGCTACAAACCAACAACCACCTTAAAATAAGCAAAAGCCTGCCTAAGAAGCATAACAACAAACACTAACAAACCAACAAACACCTTAACAGGAACAAATGCAAAATGAATGAAAATGGAGTTTCTTTTACCTCTTCTTCTCTTTCTAATCACCAACCAACACACCAAGGGGATCATAATCAGAAGCGACATGACCACAATAGATGTCACCACAATGGCCACTACCTTTCCATGTAAACTTCTGGGCTTCTTTGAATATTGTTGAGCTGCTTAAAAAAATAAAAAATAAATAAAAAACCCATACACAACTCACTCACTGTTGTAGGCTTGTAGCTCATATTTTCTTCTACAACATAAATTTTGGTGTAATAAACCCAACTTAAGTAAGTTTGTGGAAAAAAACCCTCTTTAAGAAATAAAATAAAATAAAATAATTGATTATATGAAGAGATTTAATTAACTTTGATTGTCTTGTATATGACTTTTGTGGTCACAATTGTTCATTTTTGTTGGCACAAAAATGGAACTTACTATTAAAAATTCAGCATGAGCTAATAATTTAACATACCTAATTCGACTGCATCCACCCCTACGTACAAGTCCGATCCGCCATTAGAGAACACTCTAGTATCCATCAAATTCCCATACCAAGTGATGCAAATGCCTCCGTCACTAATGTAAGCCGAGCATGAACAATTTCTCAAACACTTGTCCTCACATGCTTCCTTGCTCAGGTTGACATCAGAATGTGCCACCTCCGAGGTGTCAGGAACCTTTACACGTGCAACCTTAACGAACCCTTCACCATTATTACACATGGAAATTGTCCCACCACGTTTCCTCTTGCATCCGGCTGACCCATCTTCCAAATACCAGTCACGTGCTGACCTGGGCTCATATCCCGGGAGGCACGTGCAGTCAAACTTTTCCCCATTGTTCGGGTCACAATTACCATAAGGACCACATCGTCCGTAAAAATCACATGGTTCCTTCGGGGCTGACATGAACCAGACCCAACTAGCCTTGTCCTCGTGCCACGTATACCGTTGTAAATACCCAAATTCATCCAAGAACATCATCGACATGACTGAGGCATTAATGAGACTATACATCACAGAAAACTCTTCGTTGTTGTCAATATAACTGACATTGAATATGTAATTAAGTAACTTTGGTGTGCCACTCCATTTGTTACCAATCCATGGCCCGGTTCGCCAAATTCGGGCGGAGCCCTTGAGCACGAATGACTGGGGCAACCCACGGGTGTCCCTCCGGAAGGAATACTCCCCAGTGCCAGGGTCATCGTGTGATTTCCAAGATGTCAGGAACCGGTTTAAACCGGTCCTCCGATCCAGCCCAAGTTTCATGTTTGGTAGCATAGTATGAGTAGGATAATCAAAACTTTGCCACGCAACAACACTACTAGTACTACTACTTCCATTGGTATCATCACCTCCTTGAAACAACACCAAATTACCTGAATCCAAGAGCCGAGCTGAATTAGAACTGCTTGCCGAAACATTTGTCTGCCAAAATGTTTTAGTAACAATATTTTGGGAATTGTCGCCGTAGATGACAAGGTTTCCATGTTGGTCGACAGCCAGTGCTCCGGACATACCATTGATTGGGTTGTCTCGATTGGCAACCCAAACAATGGTTTGTTCGGGGATCTTGTAGTACCATATTCCAACATACCTACGATTGGATGTTCCATTTCCCGGACTAAAAAATCCGAGTGCGAAGGTCTCACCGTTGGAGACTAGAAGGTCACCGTCTTTGATGGGTTGGGTTGAAGTCATGGTGTCAGTGGAATTGCAAAGTCCAAAGAAAAGAAACAGAGGGAATAATCTTGCATTGAATACCCATTTTTCAGGTTTCATAGTTTTGGTTTGAAATTTCTTTGTGATTGAGGGAAGCCTTCTTGTAAAATGCCCACATTGTCAATTTTTATTTTTTTATGTTTTGAGGATGGGTTGTTGGATGTTAATATATTATTGTTGGGTTTATATAGTCAATGGAATTGACTCGGCATGTTGGAGAAAAATTGGGTTCATTGACTTAAAATTGAAAGTGATTGAATGGTTGGACTCCTTGCATTACCCTCTGATCAAATAATACTAATCAATTATAAAATTATAAATTAATAAGATGAATAGTTGCGCATGGGTCAAGTTCTTTTTTTTTTTTGCAATGCTGATGTAGAATGGTCTTTTTTGATTGCTTTAGGACCGTTTCAATTCTGATTCTAGGGGCTCCATTAATTAGAGGCACTGATATGGAAATAATATGATAAATCCACTATGTAAATGTAATCAGTCTATTCATTTCAACTTGCTAATTATCACATCGGTAGATTTTGCATAGTTAAATACATTATATTTGCATTCATCTATCCAAAAAGATACTTATTTGTCTAAAATTTACCTATATACAAATGTTAGCTATCTTGCCAATGTTCCGGTGTGCAATGTATATCATATGCGACCCTATATAAAATTATGTAAGTTGTTACAAACTTACATAGGTATCTCACAAAAATGCTAAGTTGAATACAAAGTCGAGAAAATTTGTGAAACCTTCCATGATTATGCAAATTTGTATTCAACTTATACATTTTTGTAAAGTCACTTATGTAAATTCATAAAAACTTATGTAATTTTGTGTAGAGCATATGGTGTACATTACATATCAGAGAATTTTCTCATCTATCAACGTCACATATTTAGTCACCTATCTGTTCACCTCACCACCATCCGCAGTTGGCGACTTTCAAACAACTTTCTGACAACTCTTTTGATGCCGGCAATTTTTACAACGCTTGTTCTTATCACAAAAAAATATTAAATATTAAACCAAATAACATATAACCCTTTTTAATACGTGTTTAGATTAGGTTTTTTTTTTATTTTTTATTTTTTATTTTTTTTAAAGACTTTAGACATGTTGGTTTTTATCGAGTCTTTACCGAACCTTTTAACAAACATCAAAAACCATACAAATTTTGAAAAAGTTCCGAGCCTAGGCGAGCTAGGTGCACACTTAGGCACCATTTGGGTGCTGATTTTTTTGACTAAAATAATTAAAAAGTCAAAATACACAATTATATATTGCCTTCAAAGAGATTGGTAAAATTTGGGGAGAAGTTGTCCAACGTGATGAAGAGACCAGTAATTTGATGTCATTTAAATGCGGAAAAGTAAGAATAATAACCATCAACAGAGAGTTTATTAATAAAATGATCATGTTAGAGTGCAATGGGAAGCATTATTAATAAAATGATCATATTGGTTTTCTTTTCTATTTTTAAATGTATAAAAAGTGGCTAGTCTATAGCGTAACAGGAAATTAATGCTACACAAATGGACTTCACATTTTTGCTTTTAGGATGAAAATTCAAAGCTAACTAAAATTGACAATTATTAATATGGGTCCCAAAATATTTTTTACCAGAAAGTCTTTTGATAGGTGTAACAGAAGCAGAGAAGAGGTTAAAGGCTTCACCCTGACTTGAACATTATTTTTTTTTCTATATATCACTCCCTGCCCCCACATTCCAATTGTGTAACCCATGGGAGATGATTCTATCCCAACCACTATTTGAATTGGAGAGTGCCTATTGGACACATGAAGTCTATCATGAGTCATATTGTGTTGATTTAATTTTATTTTTTTTTTGGCTCCTCCGTATAGATTATTTATATAAAAATTAAATTAAATTAATTCAATAATTTTATTCTATTTCTCATAAAAAAGATAGACAATTGACGATAAATATGATGACATCATGTTATTACAATAATCTACATATAGGATTTTATATATAAATGATTAAAATTATCAAAATATACACTACGAGAAAATACACATTTAGCGACGTTTAAAAAACGCCGCTATAGGTGTAAAAAAACTTCTCTAATTCTTTTTGTGATATTTAGTACCAAACGCCGATAACGCAGCCATCATTATAACTTTATAACGTTTGGAAAACGTAGCTATATTAGTATAGGCGGCATTTTTAAAAACGCCGCCAAATGTCCTATCCTAACGGTACTATGACAACACTATGATTTTAGTGACGCTTTTAAAACGCCGTCATAGGTTTTATTAATTTAAAAAAATTCCAACCGTTAGTATGATAGTGGCGTTTTTAAAAACGCCATGTTATCTTTTTTTTTTTTTTTTTAAATTGTGCTAATTTTATGTGATTGAACTAAAAGAATACCTATAATAAAACTGAATAGCAGTAATATGAAATAATAATTCCTATTCAAATAGCAAATGCAGCATTAATTCACTTTCCCATTCAATTTAATATCAAATTACCATTACCCACAAAATAATATATCCAAAAATTGAATTCACAATTCTCAATCAAAAAATTACTACTTTGTATACAAAGCCACAAAATAACATTACCCTCTTTTCTCCCTCACCACTCCCCCCATTTAACACAAAAAATAAGCTACAAAAGATTACTAAGAATATTAATGCCAAAGCACAAAGAGAAAAGTAGCTACACACGTCACACCATCAGTAACAAAGGCAACTAAAACATGCATTTACTATGTTAACATGAATGCAAATACAAATTTGAAAAATATTACAATACTCTTCCAAATATTAATATGAACTGCCTAGAAGTTACAATATAACGTTAGTACAAAAGAGAAAAACATATGAAAATGACGAGTGTTTAAGATATTTTCAATTTTTTTCCCCCAGCAAACTAGTGTTTAGTTTTTTTTGAAATTTTTTCAACAAACATTCCCAAGTTGAAACCAAACAGAGAAAGTTGTGTAGCTTGAATAACCACAGGATATTCAACACGGGCTGAATACCTCGATATAACCCAAAACAGACTCCGGATCATACTTTAGCTCAAAAAAACTTTCCTCGGAAATTTCTATAGAGTTCTCTTTTAGAACATTTTGCACTGTCAGACCACTGAACAAAGTCTACTTGTCAGTTTACTTAGAACAAGCAGCGTTACAACCAATTAGTAAGAAAGTAGATTGAAATCTCACTGCCTCCTCATCACTAAAAGCAATCACCTGCAAGGTTCAAGCACAGTGAAAACATGATGTTTACCAAGTCAATCATACAGACACAAGATGCTAGATCACACTGGAAGGTAGTTCGTTGAAAATTTAATGGAAAACTGACTCTATACATGCAAAAGTTCAATTTTAATTCCAAAAACCCTGTAATCACTGGCATAATATGGTCATGACAATCTCTTGCCAAGGAATAGTCATCCTGATGACAATCTCTTGCCAATGAATAGATCACACTGTCATATACTCTTGCCACTTTAACATGGTCATGACAATCTCTTGCCACGGAATGGCCATCATTTCCAAGAGGACCATTTCACAGTAAAAAAATAATTAGGAACTAGATGACGAAAATCATCCAAGCAACCACCAAATCCAATTGACTATATATAATAACCAAAATGCAGATAGCAAAATCTTCTGCCCCATGCTCACATGAAGAAAGAAAATGATAGCACAACAATTCAAAATGAATCTAGTAATAAAAGGTTTACCAGGTTCATAGTAGCAATCAGTACAATAAATTTTAAAAAATAAATAATATAAAAAAAAGAGGAAAAATCAGAGTGAAGGAGAAAAAAAAAGTCCCAAAATAGGAAGAATAAGCACTATGCAAATCTTTTACCATTTTAAAACAAGCAAATATCAGCAAGTTTATACTACCTGTGATTCACCATCAGAAGAGAAAATTCCAAAAGTATCATTTCTAGCAGCAGTTCTAATTAATCAGTTTTTATTCCAGATTCACAATTCTGCATATAATGATATTGTTTCATCTCCAAGAGTCAATTTTCAGCATGAGTAAGTAATCCCATCTAGTTAGAAAGCATAGGCAGCAAAACAGAACCAAAAAAATGTCTTAATAGATTTAGAAAGTTCAGAAATTAAAAACTTGCGATGTAGGTACTTTTACCTTGTTAGTTCTTCTTGTTCTTGTTCTTCTCTTTGTTTGAAAGGTGAACCTACATTTAATAAGAACAAGTATTTTAATTAATAAGGTCTTGCATTGTCAAAAAGGCTTTGATTAAATGATTGCTCACCTCTTGAGATGAAAATGTATGAGATTGTTGCTGATGTGGCATTGGCCGAACAGTGGGATGACTACTAAGCGAATCCACAACCTATCGTTCAATAAGAGGCTTACCAACCATAATTATTCTAATCAAGATTCCATATCTATTAGCAATTAGTCCAAAGCAAGGTTGTATTACTAAATAGCAATACAATAATAATAACTTAAAAATAAGTATGTTGTTGGAAAAGGTAGGTTTCCAAGGCTTTAAGCACACACAAAGCTAAAGTCAGTCAATTAATATTAACAAGATACACTGCAAAACTTGCTTTTTCAAACTTCATGAAACTTTTATGGATTTTCAATCTCAAGATGGCAAAATAAAAGACTTTTAATTGATGTGAGAGAATAATTATGCCTCCACTCGAACTACTGAGAGCTTCCCAGCAAAAACTGACCATTCCCCTTCAACCAAATAGATTCAATCTTTGCAAGTGATGCAAACAATAGTTTTTCACCTTCAGCAGCAGCTCGTGGATTCAATTGAAGGCCAAGTACAGGTGCAAGAATAGTATTTAGAACATAAGTAGGTGAAAAGGAAAGATTAATCAAGAATGACATAGACCTTAGAAAATAAATAAAAGGGTGAAAAATTACTATACCAAAACATTGGGAATAAAATACCTGCGCCACGGCGTAAATTAGAGTGATGCCAATCCAACACTGATTCGATCTTTGACCTTTTGAATAGATCAGATGGATACCCTTAAGAATGAACAGAAAACATTGTTAAGAACCAGGCTGCAGAATATAAATATTAGAATCAAATATGAGACACAAGTACATAACAGCTTTGGGATGCGAAATGAATACCACAGGTGAAATAGACATGCATTTTGTAAAAAAACGAAAAGTACGTTAAGTGAACATCATATCTCATATTTATCAAACCTCAAAATTTTAGGATATAAACATGGCAAAATTGTTGAGCTTGTCCTGTTTGGTTCTCCTATACCCTGGGAAGCTGAAGTGTTCACGAGACAGGATATCATATATGGAAACTTCAGTTTTCAAAAACGGGCAAGTTACAGGAGGTTACTGTTTAGCTAAGTTGCAAATTAATATAGTTCCAAGCTCCTAGAAAAACTTGAACCAGATTCAAGGGTATGAACACCACCGAGCTTAACTACAGGAAGTAGGTGTCTTCCCTCATTTTAAAATTGAGTTAACATATTGTAAGGAATCTGAGGAAACCAAGAATGTTCTCCCTATGTCTTGACAGACAAAACTGTAGGGTATGTGTACATATACCACACCCATGCTATGTTGTCTCGTGTCTGAAATTGGTATCTAACACAATATGAAGTACTGATATAACACAGGTCCTTATAGGCAAACTAATTGCAAAAAAGAAGCAACAATTCTCACCAGTGATCAGCTACTCTAGGAAATGCACAAGCAAGATACCTAAGAATTGCATGACTGCAAAGCATATCAAATGCATAAGATAGTCAATATAAGCTTAAAAACAGAATGTATAATTTAGAACGTTAAAAGAACAAAAAGATTGAAGAGCATCATCCCAAAATTTTGTAGATGCAGCAGTGACCAACAGTCTCTACAATTCATATATGAAAAAGAATACTAACACTAGGGGTATGTGCATAATAGTGCCTTTAATACCTAGAGTCCAAGTACTACAAAAACTACGCAAAGAACACTTGAACTAACCAGAAGCCATGGAAGGATAAACAAACTAAACTTTGCATTTTGAACCAGATACATATCTTATGGCTTTGTAAGATATGAAACTTCTAGAACTTCATCATTCAATTACAGGAATGACACAGAAACAAGGGCCAACTATCTAGGAATGACATAAAATTTGCGAAAATGCATTACACCCCACTAAGTTTCCCAGTTATACAATGAATCCAATTTGTCAAAATAAAAAAAGACCAAGTTATCATAGGATCTGAGATTCTGAATAAAACAGAAAAACAAGACTCGTAGTTCAGTGAAAGATTTGAGTGGGTTGTGCAATTTTGATAATGGTCTAATCGAACAGCTTTCTCATAATGAATAAGTAAAATAAAACTAGTCTGCCTAGGTAGCATAACAACAAACACCTTAGCTACCAACCAACCAACAAACACCTTAAGAAGAACAAATGAAAGGTGAATATATATAAAAAGCAATTAATTTACCTCTTCTTCTCTTTATCATTGCCAAATAGAAGATAATCAGACGGGAGATGACCACAACAGATTTCACCACAATGTCCACTATCCTTCCATGAGAAATCTTTGGTTGTTGTTGAGATGCTGCAATGAAGAATACCATGACCCATTAGTTCAGCAGATTCAAACAAGAATCATCCATGTAAAGAAAATGTATTTAAAAAAAATTATATTTCATTCACTATTTCCCCACCCCTCTTCAATTGAATTCAAAACCTTCGTTTGGGGAGTTAAGATTTTAATCAAAAAGTCAAAATATCACTACAAATTATCATATCACTCTCTCTACTCTTCCCCATATCTTTTTTTTTTTGTTTGTAAAAAATCAAATAATTTATTAAAATAACCAATTTTTAAACGGGATAAAATGTCCTATACATTTCATTTGCAATTTTTTATTGACTATAAGGCCATTAGATATGCTCTTAGTGCACTACAGTTACCTATTTTTTTATTTTTTATTTTTATAGGAATCCAATTATGATACGAGAGGATGCTACCATAAACAAATAAATGAGTTAGTGTCAAACACACAGTCTGAAATTGACACAGATAATCATTTAATAAGGTGAGTGTTTGGGAAGTGAGTTTTTATGTAAGTTTTTTTAGTTGTAAGATATTATTGGATAAATTTTTTTTGATTTAGTGGATATGACCTTCGAATCCCTCGCCCAAGGCATAGGTTTGAGTCTCCATAGCCTTTTTTCAGGGTTAAACATACTTTTTAGCATCTGGAGCACACATGGGGCCTAAGCTTCAGCCCTGATGTAGGTGCAATAGGGTTCTTTGCAAATATGATGTAGATGCTAAGGGACAATACTCCCTAGGGATATGTTGGAGAAGCCTATCTGCATAATCAATTATCAATAATAATAATAATAATAAATCATTTAATGAAGAATTAGTTATATAATTTAATACTATTTTTACTAAAGGATGTCGTTATGTAACAGCATTCAATTGAATAGAAAAAATATGAAAAATACAAATTTAGGATAAACGTAGCATCTTTGGTTTTTTGCTTATTTCAAATAATTTGTTCTTTTTATTAACTATTTTAGAGTCAATTGTAAACCAAAAATTAAATAAAAATATATTTTTTTTAAATTGGATAAATGGAATTATAATTATGCAAATCTAGTACAAATTCGTTTTATAAAACTTAATTTATGAAGAATCTTTTTTAATGTTTACATACACTAATTTCAAATAAAAAAAAAATATTTTTTTTTTGACAGGACGAATTAACTAACACAATATGAATTTAAAATGATATGACAAGATAATACGAAAAAATAAATAAGTTGAGCTAATATCGTAAATATTCTAATGCAAATCCCAAATAATACAAAAGAAATATGATCAACACAACACAATTCTGACGCCTAGCCATACCAAAAACAACACTCCAATCTCTTTCTCCTTATCCCACAATCACATATTGGATAAAAAATCAGATGAATTTCATATATGTTCCCTCTACTCTTGGCCAGAGTAAAAATGAGCTTTTATGGATTGGTACGGGTGTACCAAAAGGATAATTTTAGTGATAAGTGTATTAATTTGTGTGTGTGAAGATGGGAACAATATTAGAGAGTGGGAAAAAATATTAGAGAGTTTATTTATTTTATTATTGTTTTTTTTTTAATTATTGTTAGTGAATTATTTCTCTCTCACCCATGAACGTAAGTATTTTACGAATCACATAAATTCTATATTTTTATTGTTTTCTGATTATTTTACTTTTACTTTCATTACTTAAGCCGAGTTAATTCCCAATACACGGTACCCAGCACCACACATCCACAAAAACCATCTATATTACTACAAACTATTACCGTATTATTTTTACTCAGAAGAATTTATCCAAATTTTTCTATGTAGCGTGTTTGCGTATTATTTTTAGTATAAGTCTACTCAGGGTGGCTTGAGTTTTTTAGGGGTCTACGACGAAATCAAGAAAAAGGGAACCTATGTTCATAAAAATAAAAATAAAAATAAAAAATCATCTTCTTTGGCACCATTATTACTGATTGATAACAAAATAGATATCAAAATATATTCATTCCAGAGTATCAAAAAATAAAAAATAAAAAAAACAACCAAAGGTATAGTTCAAATCAATAAAACAAACTAATTAATCAACAAATCTAATTAATGAAATATTACAAAGTTGTGAAGCAAACATAAATGATTTCACATTATGTTAAATTGAAAAGTGGAATAATAATTTTGTTTCATCAGCAGTGTGAAGCAAACATAAATGAAAAGAAAACATGACTATAATCAATTTTCCACACAAAACACACAACAATTAACATATTATAAAGACATAGGGTAAAAAAATTAGGATAAAATTGTTCATTTCATTAAAATCCGATAGTTTATGAGAGAGAAAAATTAGGATAAAATTATTTATTCCATTATTTGACCCAACTATACTTGTATATTTTTTAATTAATTTTTGTCAGTTGGGCCTAACCACATTTATGATTAAATATTTTTTTTTAAATTGGGCTCAACAAAATTTTTTAGAATCCTTTAGATTAGCCCTAAATCAACAAAAATAAATTGGGCCTATTCAAATTTTGAATATACTACTAATGAATTTGGGGACATTATTTTTGGGCTAAATTTTGGAGCCTAAAGCACAAGCCTTAGTGGCCTTAATCCAAGGCTAGCCCTGAGTCTACTATACCAAAAGAATCTATCCAAACTTTTCTAGGTAGTAATACTATATTCCAAATTAAGTACCTATAAATTATCTAGAATTATCATCTTGTGGTTCAAATTTATTCTACACATAAACCCTACACTACACAAATTTAATTTCAATTACACAACTCTCATTCAGGATAAATTCAAGGTACATAAGTGGAGTTCATAGCATTTTTCTTTTCTGTGTAGTGTGTAAATTCAAGGTACACAAGTGGAGTTCATAGCATTTTTCTATTCTGTGTAGTGTGTTTATGTAGTAGAGATTGAATTGGTATAATATAATATTCAAATACAAATGAATTGAGCCATAGAGTGATGCATTTGGATAAAATTCAGGATAAATTTCTCAATTCATAGTATTACTATTATTTTTAAAATGGTAACTAAAAAAAAAAAAACAAAAACAAAAACAAAAAGTCATTTTCTTTGAAAGATATTTTCAGTTGAAAGAAGGCAGCACAAGTTTCTTCGTGAAATAAAACTCTCTTTCGAAAAAATAAAATAAAATAGTGATTAGGTAAAGAGATTTAATCAACTTGATTGCTTTCTATATGACCTTTGTTGTCACGACTGTTCATTTTTCTTTACACGAAACATGAAACTTGTAATAAAAATTTAGGGTGAGTTTGGAATCCAATTAAAAAAATGTCACTTTTTCATAAATTCCTTTTTATATATTCTATTTAATCTATATTATTTTCTTATATTCTAATAAGTCGTATGGAGGACATAGTTATTAAAATACCCCTAATAATATTCATATTTACAATATAAATGTTTCGTTATGTGAATGTTCACACCGGTAATGTGGATGTTAACATCGTCAATGTGAATGTTCACATTGTAAAATATGAATGTTCACATTGCCAAATTACTAACTGTTCAAAAAATATTTGTAAGGGTAGAAATGTCCATAAAATACTTTAAAGATGAGAATTTAGATTTGATAGATCAAATGTTCAAATAATAGAACTTATTGGAATACAAAAATATCTTAT